AACACGCTGCCCCACAGGAGACGATCGCGAGGCCGACTTAGGTTGAGCGACCGGCGCAGAAGCCGGAGAAATGCGGGTGTCACAGCCTGTTTCTTCTGCACTGGGTCCGATAGCCGTTTCATTCCTTGGAGAATGGCCGTCAGATGTGGAGAGCGTACAAGCTCGATGCCACTGAATCGGCGATGATACCACAATATACACGAAAGCTTGGACTGAATCGTAGAGTAGCTATTGCCGCGGTGAAGCTTGTTCCCACCGTATTTCCATAAGTAGATTGCGAAGTACGCCAATTTATTGGAACTGGAGCGGTTAACACGTTGAAGCCATGGCGACCAGCACATCATTTTGGAAAATCGCCTCCACTGCGCCCAGTAGCCTCGGTATTTGCTGTTTGTAGCTTGGGCCAAGGCATGACCACAGAGTACCGCTCCCAGACGGCTGAGAGATCGTCGAAAGGTGTAGTGACTTCGACCTGCTTCCATGAAGACGATAAGTTAGTCCATAAATCCCACAAAGGATCAGTATCGGTCCACGCGCGCGATCCAGCGTCGGCCATCGTGTTTAGTCGGCCCGGGATATGTTCCGCAGATAGTACGAGTTGATACTGGAGCTCGGCCAGTGAGAGTAAACGGTTGTACAGCTGGGCCGTCGGATGACGACTCTGTCGTCGCGACACCCATGATACAGCACTCGTATTGTCAATGTGAAGACAGACATGCGTAGGTTTTGACTGATAGTCGAGTTGCCACCGCGAACCCCACACCAGAACTGCAAGTACAGCGCTCTGAAGCTCACGGACGTTGATGGAGTTGGTGTAGTGGTCGGTCTGCAAGGCCATGACCTCGTCAGTAGTGAACCGTAATCGGAGAAATTCTTGGCGCTGTGGCTCGAGCACACAGAGACCTGAATTCGACGCATCCATGTAGACATGCACCGCCGGTGTAGCGATGTCGATGAATTGGGAGACTGGGATCTTGTTGAAGCGATCTTTGTGCAACAAGACGGCCCTGAACCATTTCAAATCTTCAATGACGGGGGCTTCCAGAACATGACGTGCATTGGGTTTCATCCGGGTTGTTACC